AACACTGACACTGTACTAATGGCACTGGGGAGGAAGGGGTTAGGTTTATTTTTCAGGGAAGGGTTAACTGTGTGAGGGGAGTGTTTTACTAGGGGGCGGGGTGTGTACTGCAGGGAACACCACTGATCAGGAGAGAGAAACTCTTCTGTCCCAATCAGCTTGTCCTGGAGCTGTCAGGGAACTGACAGAAAGCACAGCTACTGCAGCTGTGCTCTCTGTCAGCGATTGCCGCTGATCGCCGGGACATAGCTGGTAACAACCGGCAGTGACCTGGCGACTGACGTGATCGGCAGGACAGGTAGGGCGGCGTCGCACCTTGCGTGCGCCCCCTACCTGTTTACAAAATGCACGTTTTAAAACGTGCTTTTGCCCAGCCATGCCGCCTTGCCTCCGTATTTATACAGTGGCTGGGCGGCATGTGGTTAAAGAGGCAATCTGAATGGTGAGCTGTGAAAATGCAGGCATCGGTGTCACAATGTCATCCTTATTGACCGCAAAGACTCAGGCTCCTCCTCCTACAATCATTTTTGACAGATAGCCTCATTCATGTTGAAATAGAGGAGAGAAAAAAGGAGGTGCCAAAAACTAAGTGCAGATTATTGTTGTCACATTTAATGGATAGGTATAAAAACACTCACAAGAACAAATATATAATAAAGCTCATCTGTATAAGACCACTCTCCTCCGTCTTGTAGGGTATTGTCAGGCAAGCCAGAGTGACAGCTGGAGCCAAGGGTGCAGTAGAGGGCATTCCCCTGGGTATGTGGCTCAGCTGGAGCGGATCAACGGTGTCTGTATCCAAGCAATGGCCGCACAACCAGCATGGAAGGCACCTGTGGAAGTGATGCCACCGGAAGTGGGAGGGTCAATAGGAAGATCTCGGGAACACAGAGCAGGCCTAATGGCACCTTTAAAATCTTCCGTAGTTCTTTTGTCTAGAAGGTTGTTTTTGTGATGTGTCCTAAAAAAAATACTCACTCTCCTTAAAACAAAGAAGAGATTCCGTGCAGCACATCAGTATATTAAATTCTACAGTCTTGCTTATTTCTGATTGAAATATGACTTTTCCCTGCTTTTGAAATTTTCTTGGATAAAAAAAATGTGATTTAATGCAAATATGCTAAATTTTTATATAATATTTGAAGAACAAAATTATTGTTTCATTCTCCGGCCTCATAAATGCCTCTTCCCCGCCTCCAAAATTGCCTTCCATTTCATTTAAAAAGATTCAGATTCTGTGCCTCAAATGTGTGCAATGTTCATACAGTTCTCTGGAAAAATCAAGTTTCCTATTATTTCTGTACAAACATATACAGTCAGGTCCATAAATATTGGGACATGGACACAATTGTAACATTTTTGGCTCTATACACCACCACAATGGATTTGAAATGAAACGAACAAGATGTGCTTTAACTGCAGACTTTCAGCTTTAATTTGAGGGTATTTACATCAAAATCAGGTGAACGGTGTAGGAATTACAACAGTTTGCATATGTGCCTCTCACTTGTTAAGGGACCAAAAGTAATGGGACAGAATAATAATCATAAATCAAACTTTCACCTTTTAATACTTGGTTGCAAATCCTTTGCAGTCAATTACAGCCTGAAGTGTGGAACACATAGACATCACCAGACGCTGGGTGTCATCCCTGGTGATGCTCTGCCAGGCCTCTACTGCAACTGTCTTCAGTTCCTGCTTGTTCTTGGGGCATTTTCCCTTCAGTTTTGTCTTCAGCAAGTGAAATGCTCAATCGGATTCAGGTCAGGTGATGGACTTGGCCATTGCATAACATTCTACTTCTTTCCCTTAAAAAACTCTTTGGTTGCTTTTGCAGTCTGCTTTGGGTCATTGTCCATCTGCACTGTGAAGCGTCCAATGAGTTGTGAAGCATTTGGCTGAATATGAGCAGATAATATTCCCGAAACACTTCAGAATTCATCCGGCTGCTTCTGTCAGCAGTCACATCATCAATAAATACAAGAGAAGCAGTTCCATTGGCAGCCATCCATGCCCACGCCATGACACTACCACCACCATGCTTCACTGATGAGGTGGTATGCTGAGGATCATGAGCAGTTCCTTCTCCATCCTCTTCTCTTCCCATCACTCTGGTACAAGTTGATGTCGGTCTCATCTGTCCATAGGATGTTGTTCCAGAACTGTGAAGGCTTTTTTAGATGTCGTTTGGCAAACTCTAATCTGGCCTTCCTGTTTTTGAGGCTCACCAATGGTTTACATCTTGTGGTGAACCCTCTGTATTCACTCTGGTGAAGTCTTCTCTTGATTGGTGACTTTGACACACATACACCTACCTCCTGGAGAGTGTTCTTGATCTGGCCAACTGTTGTGAAGGGTGTTTTCTTCACCAGGGAAAGAATTCTTCGGTCATCCACCACAGTTGTTTTCCGTGGTCTTCCGGGTCTTTTGGTGTTGCTGAGCTCACCGGTGCATTCCTTCTTTTTAAGAATGTTCCAAACAGTTGTTTTGGCCACGCCTAATGTTTTTGCTATCTCTCTGATGGGTTTGTTTTGTTTTTTCAGCCTAATGTAGGCTTCACTGATAGTGACAGCTCTTTGGATCTCATCTTGAGAGTTGACAACAACAGATTCCAAATGCAAATAGCACACTTGAAATGAACTCTGGACCTTTTATCTGCTCATTGTCATTGGGATAATGAGGGAATAACACACACCTGGCCATGGAACAGCTGAGAAGCCAATTGTCCCATTACTTTTGGTCCCTTAACAAGTGGGAGGCACATATGCAAACTGTTGTAATTCCTACACCGTTCACCTGATTTGGATGTAAATACCCTCAAATTAAAGCTGACAGTCTGCAGTTAAAGCACATCTTGTTTGTTTCATTTCAAATCCATTGTGATGATGTATAGAGCCAAAAATGTTAGAATTGTGTCGATGTCCCAATATTTATGGACCTGACTGTACATTTGTACTTATACAAGCAAGGACTTCCTTTTGCATTCTTCACAGATTTGAGCACAATTGGGACTTTTTTGCATTCTTTCTTTCTATTCTATACATTTTAATACAATATTGTTTTTTCATGATTTTTCACTTGTCACAAGAAGCGCGGCAATATAAATGTATACGTTTGTATACAGTTTATATAATTGTTTTTGCCAGCTGCTATTATTAGATTTGTTAGCGCGATTTCTACATGTTTAGAATTACTTAATATTTCTAGCTGAAATTGCCTCCAAAACAGCCTCGCATCATAAAGAATGTGAATCTGTTCAGCAAAAAATGTAATTTATAAACTGCTTTTGGAAACGTTAGGTTTTCATATAATATTTATGGCTGAAAAATGCCAACTCCCTGCCCCCAAATTGTCTTCCATGAAAAAGAATAAGATTCTGTTAAGCAAATTACATGTGGTGGCCAAAAAAATACAACTTTATTACATTTTGCAGAAATAGTACTAATCCTGTCTTCAAAATTAGCTCTCATTAAAATGGATGTGATTCCGTTTAGTTAATCCATACGATTTTCATATACAGTAGTGTCTTTCTAGCAAATACATTTGCTATTCATATTTTTGGCTGAAAGTGCCTGTTAGGGATCCGGGTATGACCAGAAATGTGTGGACTGACACAGGGAAACACAGGCTCCAGGTATAGTATAAACAATACAATTTATTAAAGACTAAACAATACATAAACACAGTGCAAGACTAAACATAAACACAGTGCAACCAAACCTCCAACAGATAACAATAAGAACAATACTAAACGTAGTCGGGCAGGCCGGGTCGGTAGCAAACGGGCAGGCAAGGTACAAGGAGCAGGCGGAAGCGTAGTCAGGAATAGCCGAGGTCAGGACAGGCAGAGTTCATGCAGAGTCAGGATTAAAGCAGAATCAGGATCAGGCAGGAAGCAGACAGGATGCAGGTACAGGGGCTCATGGGAAACATACACCAAGGCCCTGATCACAGGCCTGGCCATTCCTTAAATACACGTGTTGTAATCAGCCTCAGGTAATGACTCATTTCAGGAGTGAGCCTCTGGTTGATGAAAGCACCTGCTGGCCAGCCCTGGTACTGCAGCCCACAAGGCAGGTGAGTACCACCACCACTGGCAAGTCCATTCCTGACAGTGCCTCCTATTATAAATGATGAGATTATTTTCTTTTGCAAAACCTGTGTCTGAAACAATTTTCAGGTATTATGCTCCTATTATATGATGTATATGTAACAATTCCATCTAATTTTATTTTCATTGCTGAAATCTGCCTGCTCTCTCCCACAGAAAAGCAGTCTATCCAAAAAGATGTAAAAGATATACTAAATCACTCACACTGTTTTTGTTTAAATATCAAATAAAAATACAATAAATTATTCTTTTCAAGTGCAAACTGTTTGCTATCTCTCTCAATACTATTGGCCTGCCTAAAAGGTAACAAAGCCTCTGTTGTAATATATTGTTTCGCTCTTCTAAATGGGAAGAAATGACCATTTTTTAGAAAGCTGGACTTTTCTAGTTGCAAGGTTAACATACAATATAGCAGTTTGTCCAAACAGCCTTAAAGAAGAACTTAACTGTATCTGAGCACCACAAACTGAATTGTATTTAATTCCTTTTTAATATTAAAAGTAAAGTCACCCATCCATCTATGCTTTATTTTGTTGAAAAATCACTTAGCATTTCCAGCTGCAGCCACCTTGAGTAAGGGCAGATGATTCATACAGCATTTACTTTCAGGAATCCATCTGCCCCTAGCTCAGACATGCAGGCAGGAGGGAGTGCTTAGCTGAGAAAACCCCTCCTTCCTGCCTCCAGATGAAAGAAAAAAATTGCCAATGAAGACTGCTGGGATGTATGACATAGTTTTAGCCTAGGTGTCAGGAATGGATTCACCACTGGTGGTGGGACTCACCTGTCGTGTGGGCTGCAGTACCAGAGCTGGCCAGCGGTGCTCTCAGCAACCAGAAGCTCACTCCTGCAGTCAGCCATCAGCTGAAGCTGATTGCAGGAGGTGTATTTAAGCAGGACTAGGCCTGTGATCAGTGCCTTGGTGTATGTTCCCATGAGCCCCCTGTACCGTGTATACTGTGTTCCTGTTCTGCTGACTATCTGATTTGTTGCCGACCCTGCCTGATCCTGACCTCTGCTGACTTCTCCTGCTTGAGCCCTGGCTTGCCTGACCATCCTTCTGCCTGATCCTCTGTACCGTGCTGCCCGTGAGTTACTGAACCCGGCTTGTAACCCTGACTATTCTCTGCCTGCTCCTCCGGTACCTCGCTGCCCGCACGTTGCTGACCTGGCCTGCCTGACTACGCCTGACGCTACCCAGACGATCCATCCATCCATCCCGCACGGATCTGTCCCTGTTACCAGGTCTGCCAGCCTCTTCACGTCAGGCTTTCCCACGGTACATACCCTCGGCAGACCCCTCTACCACATTTGGGTGCACTCAGGGGCCGCGACCTGGTCTCAGTCCTGCGCCAAGTCCATCCCCACCATCAGGGGCTCTGGTGAAAAGGCAAACTGGGGCTTAGACTCCACGCCCTGGGGAATCCCGTTCTGTGGGTACTAGAGATCCCGCCGGGCGGTGCCTGACAGTACCTAACGGCCTTCCTGACCATTCCACCTCTCCAGCCCTGTGTTCCTGAAGCCTGCTACTTCCCTGTGTCAGTCCACACATTTCTGGTCATACCCGGATCCCTAACACTAGGCCAGAAACATGTAAACAACTGAATAAATGTAAAAAAAGACATTTAAAACAACAAAACATAATGTACCTTACTATCTATTTACTAAGGCTAGCAATCTTAGTACAAATAAAATAGTAAATGTTGATTGACAATGTAAAGTTCTGCTTTAAAGGTTGTGTTACTAATCTATTAACATGTACTGCCTAGATGTATTCTTTGGAAATAAAAGAAAATCATTTCTTATCTTTAGCTGCAATCTACTTGCTCTCTCTCAGAAAAAGCACTGTGGAGAAAAAAGGATTACAAGATTAGTAGCAAATTTGTTCTTAATGTATTGAGTCTTTGAAAAAGGAAGCCTTTTGTTTGCTTGTGGATGCAATCTGCTTACTCTCTCGGAAATTGTGGCCTATTCCAAAAAATGCTAAAAAAAAGTATTATGCAGTTCTGTTCAATGTTCATAATTTTAACTGTACACAAAAATAACTTATTTTCTGTTCTAGATGCAATATGCATTCTCAGTTGCTTAGAATTTGTTGCCTACCCATAGAGGCTTGATCAGCGGTGCAAATATCTAACCTTTTCCCATGTACAGTCTCTGAAACAAGACACTAATGTTTTTACTTCCAGATGCAATGTGTTTGCTCTCTCCATCAGAAAATGTGGCCTATCCAAAAACAAAACTTCCAAGGTGTGGTGCTATCACGTACCTGGTGAAGAGTGGAATGTAGTAGAGGCCTCTCTTGCACCTCCTGCCCAAACGTCAGGGACCCCAGGCTTTACCGCGGCACATGGGTCTGCGCATGCACGGTATGCCGGGGCGCACTAGCGTGCGGACACTAGGACCTGGGCACCCGCGACGGCAACGGCGGTCGCGCATGCTCACTCGTGGCGTGCCTGGCACCAATGAGGGCACAGGGCGCCCAATTTAAACAGGCTCTGTCTGTGCTCAAGTTGCCGTCTGGTCTTTTCCTGTATCCTGATTGTTCCTGCTTATTGATTGCCTTGTTGCCGACCCTGTCTGACCTTGATTCGCTGACTGTCTCCTGCCCTGATCCCTGGCTTGTCTGACTATTCTTCTGTCTATACCTGCATGTTTGACCTCCCGTTACTGAACCTGGCCTGTGACCTGTTTATCCTTCTGCCTGCCGCTTGTACCGTCCTGCCTCCACCGTTACCGACACGGCCTGTCTGACTTCGCTCACTCCGCCTCCTCACATTAGGCTCTCACCTACTATATACCACCGGTAAGTGCTTCTACCACAGCTGGTTGCACCCAGGGGCCTGGTTTCGGCCTGCTCCAAGTCCATCCCCACCATCAGGGGCTCTGGTGAACAAGCAGGTCGGGGCTTAGATTCCATGCCTTGGGGAATCCCGGTCTGTGGAGCGCTAGAGGCTACCGCCGGCTGGTCCATAACACCAACACTCCAGAAAGTAGAGACAGAGAGTGTGTGGGCATGGAGTAGCACAAGTGCTGGAGTAGCTGGTTGGTGATGTCTGCTCTTTAGATGGGTAAAGCTGGAAGTTTCAGGACAGGACTGAAGCAGCTCGGCACAAGAGCAGGAGATGGAAGCAATTTCAGGCAGTAGTCAGTGACAGCCGAGCAGAATGGAACCTAATTAGCAAACAGCAAGTCCAGGAGGCAGGCCAAGAGCCGTAACAGCCAGGCAAAGCAATTCATAATCAGCAGGCAGAGACAAGTCCGTAAACAGGCTGAGGTCAGAGTAATCAGATGAACAAGATTCAGGCAAAGAGCCGAGGTGAAGTCCAGGGAGAAGTCGGGTCATACACAGGTAGGCAAATACAAAGGATCAGGTCTCAGGACACACAGAACAAGCTGAAGACAATTCTGCAACTTCTTCCAGTGACACGTGTTATAAGATACTGGGTGGAAAGTGTGCATACTAATTGCTATGTGCACATGCGCATGCATCATCATAGCACCTTTGGTGCTGCCCATTCACCCAGAAATACAAGCACCACCATAGCATAAATCCACACTGGTTTCCTGGGAATCCAGTTTACCTAACAGGTGCAAATTGTTTCATTTTTTTTTTTTCAATTTAACACAAAATGAAACACATTCCCAAAAAATTGCACCCTGACCATCCAGACTTAACATTTGTGGTGCAAATCTTCAACTCTTTCCTATCTTTAGTCTCCAAAACAAGACACTGTTTAATTCTACATGCAATCTTATTGCTCTCTCCCTCAGTAATTGTGCTCATCACATGAAGGCTTCAAAGGTGTTCTGCAAACCTGTCTAATTCATTTCTTTTAAATTTGACACAAACAGATACTTTTTTTGTTTCTAGATGCAATTTGCCTACGTAATCCCTAATAAATTGTGGCCTATTAAACAGTGAAATGTTTCTTCAGTCTCTGAATTAAGACACAATTTTTTCCAGATGCAATATGCTGCACAATTTACCAATATATACAACGATATCCCTGTTCTGCTCCAAAGTTATTTTTACTGTTAGCTTTAAGAGAAGCTGCTCTCACTTCTCAACTCAAAAAACTAAAATAAATATCAATAGTGTAGGGATTCTCCCCTAAAATATAAAATGTGATCAACACCAATATATATATGTAAGCCGTGTACCGGGGTGGGCTCCCCAGGATACAGTGAAGTCATGAACGAGGAAAGCAACCCCAACACCAGCTTTTGCCACAACAGAATTTTACTTAGATGTGGCAAATAAACACAATCACAAATGCTGGGAACATACAATAAATTTACATACACCCAGCCCAAAGGCTGAGACCCTTGTGCTGCACAGCACAGCGCCCCCTGATGGATGAAGGTAGAAGGTGTAGTAATTTACCTACTGGGGGGCACAACTAAGCTGCCACACCTTACCCGTTATTACCCTACAGAGCAGGAATCAGTGTATGGGTGTACGGTATGGGCTAGCCTGCGGTGCAGCACAACAGCTTACAATCTTACACAAATCTACAGTATTCCCTCTCCCATAACTGGTCCTGTAGCACGTGCCTGAGTATTCCTTCTAAGCAAAACGCCAGTCTGGCTTGAGTTTGTAGGATTTTATCAGCTCTCCAATGTGAAATGTCATTTTAAGTTGCGGAGTCCTTCCAATAATCAGTAACAACACTTGTAGCCTGACACAAACAGAGACCCTAACTAACTAACTATAGGCCTGGACTCAGTCTATAGGCGCCAACACTGAAATGAGGTGCATGCACGATCTTACCGACCCGGGTCTGCTTTGCATCCGCTAGTGACTCTGAACAGAACAAATGTCTCTCAACAGGCTTGCAATATTGCAGTGTATGCTGCGTTGTTCCTCTGCTCTCATCAGCATTACTGGCAGCGATCTTCCTTTCTCTGAACAGGACCAGGGTCTTGGACACGATCAGCTTCACTTAGCTTCAGCTCTGGTTACCGAGTGAAGCTCCCACACCTGGATGTCATCAGATTCTCAGCTCACACGGCCCCTTCATTCAGCATTGTTTAAAACATGGCTGCAGTCTCCTCTTCCTGTTCACTCCAACTCTGTGTGAAAACTCCACCTCTTCATGAATATACAAATATCTATGCAGTCTGAGGCTGTGTTAGAAAAACAGTGACATCTTGTGGCTAAACCGCAGAATGTCAGTCAAAACATTAATTTACTTCCACACAATCAGTGTTCAAACAATGAGAGCTGTTTCCCCATCTCACATAAACATATATATATATATATATATATTTATATATATATTTTTATGAATAACAAAACATCACAGTGCTAAACACCTAATACAAATACGTAATCAATAAATTATATACCTTTTTTCTTATTACAAACCACATATCAGTCGGTGAATTATATATACTGTATCTCATAAACAGTACATGCATAACAATATCTTTCATTGTTCAACAATAAATCCCTCAATATAAAAATTCTATGTGATTAAATATACAGACCGTAGACTGTATAAGTGTCTCACAGACTAAATAAATACACTTACATTTAACCAGAGAAATGTATCAAAATACATTTGGGTTTAAATTTATGAATAAAGACTATTTATTTGGTGTTTTACTTGGTGTATTAGGTGGTAGAAAAAAATCCATTGTAAAAAAAGTTTGTAAAATTAATTTGGATACAGTTTTGCATGACTGAGTAATTGTCAAGCAAGCTAGCACAGTACTGAAAACTGAAAATTGCCCGGTAATGAAGGGGGGTGTAACATGCTTGTGTCAAGGTGGTTAACCATTTGCCGCCCGCCCTATGGCCGAATGGTGGCCGGCAAATGTCATCGGCGTCCTCCTGCACATGCGCAGATTGCGCTCCTGCAGAGCCGCGCAGCGGCGCGATCTGTCACCGGCCGTGTACCTCGGACATGGCCAATGACAGATCTGAGTATCGACCCCCGTTGCCGGTACCATATGACCTGCTGTGACCAATCACAGCAGGTCACATGACAGTTGTATACAATAAATGGCTTCATTCATGCCATATCATTGTATACTAGTGTCTAGCTGTGAATGGTCACAGCTAATCACATGCACATGTCATGTGATTAGCTGTGGCCAAATCACCAGCTAAGCACAAAAAGAAAAAAAAAAAAAAACCTGAATGAATCGATGTCATTCAGGTAAATGCTTGCTAATAGCAAAGTAATTCTTTGCTAAAAGCAA